AACTAAAACCTCATGTCATCTGTGAAAACTCAAAGCAGATCGATCAGTAAGTTCACATTGCCAATAGCAATAAATTTTCAAAGCATGAGGAAAAATATCGACGTAGATGCATCTTGGTGTGAGAATCTAAGACAATTCTTACTGATGCGTGCAGAGAGAATTTTTTTATTTCTTCGCGTAATCTCGAGTGTGGAGAACGAAAGTAAGAGAACTATAAAATCACCATTGTCGAGAGGAACGCAACTACACTGACAGTTCTTAACACTCAAAAAGAAGTGGAAAAATGAAAAGCATCTAGAAAATTTTTGATCGTGTACATCACATGTTCTTATTTGTGATTGTCATACTCTATCGATTCTTCTCGTATTTACAGCTTAAATTCTGTCAAATGCAACTGCTCTTCTACTGATGTATGTGCACTATGAGCGATTAAAGGAAGTCCGCAAAGAACGTTAAAAGCAGACCAAGAAATGTGACATCACTGTATGATTTATCAGTATTTCATCCTACCTATTATCAATCTTACAAACTCACAGAGAAATAAAAAAGTAAAATATTCAGTACAAGTTTTTGTATTCCGTCTCCAATAGTGGAAACACGAAAAACCTAAAGATAGAGCCACTCCCAGAGTGTTCTTGACCATTCTAGAATAACCGGTGATTTATATAATGTTCTGTGCTGTACATCGATTAATTATTGTGATAGACAGCAAGATGAACAATCTATAGCATTTCAGTATATCTCCCAGGACATGACAAGAACTACTCAATTTAATGGTCCTGCAGTGACCATGATCGAGTTCCACTGTGAAACAAGAAGAGTCGCTGTTAGAACTAAGAGAAATAACTAACTAACGAAAAATGAAATGAAAGCAGACGAGGATCAACAGCAGCAGTGACAGCAGAAGAAGAAATAAAAACAGTTAGATAAAGAGAAAATGCAGACAATATTCGAATTGAATAGATAGACAAAATAGAATTAAATTGAGCTATTCTTGGTTTCTAAAAAGATTTCTGCACTCGGAAAATTCGTTTTCTAGTCCTCAGAGCGATCGTATATGAGTTCCACATGTTAGTTAGCTGCAACAGAGTCTACACCAGTGACAATCTTTCTCCTTAGGTATATGTTTATATGCTCAATTATGGTAATTCCTGAAGCAATTGGGAATATACTTATATCTTGTAATGCACATACAAAAAATTCAATTGGTTCCTATGGGTTTATCAATTGCTTTTGTACTATGAACAACTGAGGCTGCAGATCTTGATTATCTCTTATCAACTGACTCATTAATTATTACCAATTTCGGTGTGATTTCAATTTATGCTGTAGAGGGGGACGACCTGGTTAATTCAGACTGAATAGGATTGATCAGAATACCAATTCAATCGACCGGTCAATCAAAGGTCTTTACTGGTACTGATCGTATCTCTGTAATTGGTCTAGTACTGAACGGCTGCATGCTTTGAAAATGAAGTTAAATTTGGTTTCATTAATTTTTGCTATAAGTTGACTGGTTCCAGTTCGATGGCTATTTCTAATAGGCTCAAAAAAAACTTCATTTTCTTATTGTTTTAAAGAAGTATTGCTAAGAAACATCTTTATTAAAATACAATATTAAAAAATATGCACTGTGTAAAGTGAATATGATATTTTTCAAAGCGGTTATTTATAATTCGAATAACAATGAGCATATGCCAAAATCAACCAGTCTATTCCAATATGAGTTCTGTGTACTAAGTCTCTTTACCATGTGATAAAGACCTTTCTCTGGTTGAATAAAAAAATGCTGATTAAACTTGTCCATTCGCAGAATTCTTCATTCCCGACATAAATTTCGATATGTTTTTGAATCAAATTGCTAAATATGATAAAAAATTTTTCGATAATGGATATTTATTAGCTACCAACACCCTAAAAGTCGCTTTATCGAAGAAAGCAAAGAATACCTTCAATAGACAGGATTACTCTAAATTAAAAGAAGAAAATATTTATTATTCTTTTTCTTTCATGTGAAGCAAATAACTGACACCGAAATAGTGATTTGAGTAGCCGATGAAGATTTCATGGTTGAAATGTGTGACTGAGGCTTGGAATAATTTAAGCAGTATATTTTTCAATTCCTAGAAAACTTTGTAAGATCCTATTGTTCAAAAATATCCCTTGAGTAAAGATAAAAATTTAAGTTACTGCGTTTCCCAAATAAAGATCTATCATAAAAAATACAGTACTTGTTTCAAGCGTACAATGATATTAAAATGACCATAAGATATACACTTGAAATAAAAATAAAGTTCTATTTTTTATTTAAAAAATATCAGTCGGACAGTTTAATAGCGTACCTGTATCCATCTCCATGCATATGTATCATTGAAGTCATATGTTATTTTTGTATCTTTTTTTATCTTACAGATAATATTTCTCATATAAAAGATATATTTATAAACAGAATTATACTAATCAGTTTGAGGATCTGTTCACTCTTCATATTTCTCATGCATAGCTTCAAAAAAGCGCGTTTTTATTTGATCATTATTCATTTTAATATTATCTATGTATGACTCTTTGTATGTATTTAAATATTAACATACGAAAATCATATTCTTTTTTTTTCATAGAGATAAGAATGTTGATGTGGAAAATTTAGCACTATTACCATCTGGTATCCATTTTCGTAATTATTGTCTAGATGACAATAATGAAAAGCGTGTAGAAACATTTCTTGATACACTGTTTGATCCACATCAATCCCTTCTTGTGACAATAGAAAAACATTTAACAATAATTAAATCATATATAAGCGGTGGAAAACCATTTGAAGAGTTCTGTACAGAAGGTAGATTTTTCTTCAAATAAATGCTCAAAAACATATAGTTCCGTATTACTTAGTACGTAAATATAATAAGAGTATATTATGTGGCTTTGTATGGACTAATGCAACCATTAGTTATCGTTGTCGTACATGTGCAGCAAATCCATGTATGAGGTAAAGAGTAGAAAAAAAAATTGAAAACTGAAGAAATTTCATTGACAAATATATTTTAGTCTATGTTCTGATTGTTTCCATAATGGAAATCATCAAGGACATGATGCAAATATGTTTCGAAGTATTGGTGGTGGTATATGTGATTGTGGTGATGTAACTGTAATGAATTCAAATAGTTTTTGTAAACATCATGGACCTAATCGAATTCCCAATGCACAAATACCATATAAACTTATTCGATGTGCTCAAATACTGTTACCAAGAGTTATTCTTCGATTTGTTCAACATTTACGAAGTCATGCATCACCTATTAGTAAGTATTGAAAAATATGAAACTTAAGAAGAAATTTTTCGTCTTATGCAGAGTCTAATACATATTCAACTATTGAAGAATTTACTTCATTAACATCTCTGTTTAATCTATTTGATGATTTGTCTAATGCTGGTTCATGTATTCGTTCGATTTTTACTGATTGTTTACTTAATATAGAATTATACGAAAAATTTAATACTCAACCATCAATTAATGATCTTTCAAATATCTCGTATAATATTTATTTACAACAATTAAATGAAACATCTAGTCTTCTCATGCCAATATCCTTACGTACAGATAATTCATCAGTCTATTTTCATATTAAAAAAGCGACATGTCTTTTTGATGAAATACTTTTTTGGCTAGTTAAATATCAAATTCCTGAACGATTATTAAAATTCTTACTCATGTTATTAACTGACTTGAACTTCAAACGTTCATGTATTCAATCGTTTCTTAATATTTACGTAATGGTAATTGATCAATTAATTCATTGTCGAAATTCTCGTGAAAGAATGCATAGTGCTCGACTTGTACATATTAGTGTACAGTTATTTTCAAATATTGATATAACAGTTCAAGCTATTAAAGATTATCATTTGATGGAGTTAATACTTTCATCTCTATATTCAATATTTTCTAATATACAAATCAATTGTCAATTACAAAAACCAAAAGAAAATTATCATTTAGTAATATATGATATAGATTTTTCAAAAAATATGCATTATTGGCCTATAATTTCGGATTTTATTAATATATTGTCACATGAATACGCGAGTAAAGAATTCTTATTAGAAAAAAGATTTTTTATAACTTGGATTAAAATGATTAGTTGGTTTCAAGGTAAGAAAATTGGATGTTAAAATTGTTTTCTAAATGGTTTTGTTTTGTTTTCCTTTCTTGAGGTATGAATGTTAATCATCATGAAATTGAATCAGAAATTTTATTACAATCAAATACGAATTATCTATTTGCTTTTACAATGGAAACTGAATGTTGTGCTATGGTTTTATGGACAATTAATGCTCATATTATGAAACCAGTAAGTTTTTGAATGTTAAAATTGTTTTCAAAAGACCAAAAGAACTCATTTAATAGGATTTTTTGGATATAACTACGAAAGTAATTAATTATCTATTTCTTGAAGTTAAACAATGGTTTTCATCAATTGGGTTTGAACAATATAAAGATGTAATTTTCCGAATAAATCAATTTAACAATTGCAATGCATCTCTCAATGGGATTTCGTCACCTTTGTATTTCTTGCTTTGACTATTATAGCTCGGTTCCTTTTCGATAATGGATATATAGCAAAAAAGTACGGACTTTATTGCATCACATGATACATTATTCATAAATAACACAAAGAAATCAAACAACAAAAAAATACATCATGGAAAAAGATGATAATTTTCTGTACTACAATCTTTAGTAAGAGTAACTAGAAGTTTTATCGTTCCATTGCTTTAGTACATACTGATGAAGATAAGTTCATTTCATAAATACGTCTATCTGACTAATAAAACAAATTAATAATATATTATGAATAGAAATTCTGAAAAAGTCTAGCTTCAAATTCGTACATATCTTGTTACATCGTGCTTATCATCCAGATGAAATGTACGTTGTAATAAAAAAAAGCTACTATCTTTATCCTCTGATGTATTTTTTGCTGTTAGATTTCTATTTGATATTTATGATTATTACATCATGTAATATAGTGAATTAAGGAGCTGTGGATCCACATTTTTTGTGGATCTTGGCTTCGGTTAGATTCAAACCCGACTTTGTCTTTCACCAATATCTGACACACTTTGTGTACATGAACAAGGGAATGATATATCATTTTAGCTATACATTTGGTACTCTCAGAAAAAGAGTCAATGTAAAGTTATTTCTTTTTGTCTACTTTTCCATTGCTCGATGATTCATAAATTAAATGTTATTGCTTAGTTGAAAACAGCATTATGTTAACAAAAAGAATTGAGCAGTTAATTGATAAACAAAATTCGTTAGTAAAAATAGTCAAATCAGCAGTAACACCAAAATCTTCAGTTGTATGAAACAGTCTTAGATGTATTTATAAATAGAAGATCAAGCAGAAATAAATTCTATGCAATCAATGTGAGGGCTTGCTTATTTAGAAATTATTTTCTGGTATTAATTCACTCTCTAAGCATTCCCGTAGTCGTCAAAATAAAAAAAAATAATAGTTTACAATACTCAAATAAGTATCAATCAGTTTTATGCATCTTCAAAAAGTGAACCAACTATTCCAGATCGACTAAAGCAAGAAATTAAAATTGTTTGTGTTGAATTTGCAGTAATTGATTGTCGACTATTCAAAACAATGAATTATATCGGTTTTAAAAATCTAGCACAATAAGTTGTTAATTCTGGTCAATAATGACCAATAGGTAGCTGCGGATTTATTTTTTTATGGGCTAGACTCGACCTAGGGCTCGGGTCTGGAAGGACTCCTAACTCCGTATAATGAAGTCTGCTCTTTCTTGTTCTATACCCATTATCATAAAAAATAGAAACTATAATAGTCTAGAGTAAGAAATACAAAGATAAGAAAATTTTCATTGAAGTGCTCTATATATTTTACTTTTAGATTATAAAAAATCAAGTAACATTTCATATACCTTTACATCGTTATATATCTATATTAAGTTATCTTTCACTTAATTATCAAAATGGTGAATTAAAAACTTTATTTCCAATTGAAAATGAAAAATTTTTACTTAATCTTGCAATATTTCCATTACGAATTCAAGTTGTTAAATATGAAATTCTAACCAATACAATATGGTCATATCATAGTTATGAAATGCAAATACAATCTGATATGTATTCTAGTACTCATGGAAATATCTGTTCATATATGAATGATGCAGATATTTTTCTATTACAAGTATTAATAAAAATTAAATATCAATGAACTATTTGTTTATTTTTAGTTGATATCGACTTTAGTAAATATTAATAAATTTATGGAAATGTTTTTTAAAAGGTGAGACAATATTTTGTTTGTGAATATTTCTGTCATATTTTTATCATTTTGCTCTTAGTTTTTATGTACATGAATGGCTTGTTCAAAATACAGAAAATAATCTAATTTTTGAAAAATCAAGTTATATAACTCTACTTGAAGGTAGTCTTATAGTTTTAGCTACTATTGTTGCATTTTCACCACATCTTGGTAAATCAATCAATTTATTAATATTATTATTAATAAATTGTTTATTTTTGTTTTAGTATTAGATGATTTTGAACATCGTCGAGCTGAAATAATTAATGCATTAGTAATACAAGATTGTCATTATTCTTATTTGGATGAGCATATGGGTGAACCAAAAAGTTTTGCAACATCTAAATATGACATACAATCAATTGTGGACGATGTATGAACATGTAATAACTTGGATTATGCATTCATCATGTTTTCTTTTCTTTTTTTTCTATTAAAATATATTGATTAGATAGCTGAATATATTTCACCAACAATTGACATAACAAATCAACCAAAACAAGGACAATATAAACTAAAAGGTAAGACATTGTTCTATTGAAATTAAACCATTATATTTTGAAATATTAATTTAGATTTTCTATGGGAAGATGAATTTGATCCACTACATGTTTTATCAAGAATAAGTCGAAGAGATTTATTTGAAACAACAATGCAGCGATATACGAAATGGTAAAAATTTACAATCAATGAAAGATAATAATTGATGATTTTTAGGGTGATATCAATGAATAAATTTTCATATGAAAAAAATCTTTGGCCACCATATCGATTACATAAACCAAAAGATCAATTTCAAACAAATCTAAGATGTATTCTTCAAAGTCGATATTTACATGGAGTTTTCTTTTCTATTTGTCATTGGGTAAAAGTCTCTTTTTTTTTTATTCAATTAAATCCTAATAAACATTTAAATATTTATAGATGATGAATGAAACAATTATTCACGAAGATATTTTATCATTATTAGTTTATCTTTGTGAATTAGCTATTGATGAAGTAAGTACTAGAGTGATAATTCTTTCGTGTTGTTTTACTATATGCATGATTTGTATAGCAAATTCGTCGATTAAAATATGGTGAATTTCTTAATGGTTATGCTCCATCAACTATTCAATCACCTCAATGTCATAACAATTCAGATATTAATCATTCAATTTCATTAGAAACACTGACGTCGTTAGAGGATGAAAATATTGATGAATGTCAAAAACAACAACAACCAATAGAATTTTCTGTAACAGAACCAACTTTATTTGGAGTTAACATTAATGGAGATTATGGGAATCTTCGGTAAATTTTTTTTCTCGCTTTGAAATCTAATCAAATTACCTTGATATTTCTCACAGTATAATTAATACAAAAGAATCATCAAATCTGATTCATATACCATATGGTAATTCAAAAATAAATTCATGTCGAGAAACTAATAAACGAGAATGTTTAAATGAAGTTGAACAATGTTATACTCATAGTGTAAGTTTAATATTTTAATGTAACTTTAACATTTGTATTTACTTGTTTTTCATTTTCAAGGCAATCAAATTTAATCAAATTTCTGAACATGAACAACAAATTCAAAAACAATGGGATGAACTTATTATGGCAAAAGATTCATCTGTACATAATCAAATGTAAGTCTATGAAAATTGAATTTCTTAGAACTGTAATATGTCAATGAATTATTATTCGAGGTCTTATTCGATGCCATTTTATGATCTTGAAAATCAATTTATTGTATGGCTTATATATTTATTAATCTTTATTTTGTTAGTTTATCTTTATAATAGAGATCAGATTCTTTAAACTCACAACATTGTCAAAATAATTACGATAAACAAGAACAAGAACATACTCAACCACAAATAAAAAACGTAAGATTATAAAATAAAAACTAATTGATTTCTTACTTGATCGTTTTTTGTTTTTGTAGAAAAAAGAGAAAATAGAAGGAATTATCGATGGAAAATATGAAACATTTTATGAACAAGATAATTTTCTTATAAATGCTCATACTATTATTGAAAAAATCTCTTTTGAACGAGTTATACTTGATATTGAAAATGGTTGGTTATGTTCATAAACAAAAGATCCTTAGAGATATTCGTTTTAGATACTACTGAATCTGTATTCAAAGAAGAATCACATACAGAAAAAAGTTGTACAAATATTCATCGTATGTCTAATAAAAAAAAAAGAAACAAATTATCTTTTTATATCTTTGTTCAATATATATTTCAAGTTGATCGACCATCGATAAACTTTAGTACAGTTTCAATACAAACAAATTCTAAATATATAACTGAAACGAAATGTATCAATATGTCTTTAGTACAAATGCTCATTCATCTTCTATCTAAAATAATATTAAATATAAATGATATGAACAATAATAAAATTTCATTGAGTCATTTACTTGATAAAGCTCGTATGAAAAAAGGATCGGAAAGAATAGGTAATGGTACTGTTTATCTTGCCAGTCTGCTAATTAAACTTGAACAATTATGTGATGAATGTAAAGTACAAATCAATGAAACAGTTAATCAATTAGAACATAATCAATCGAATAATAATATAAATAATATTAACAAGTAATAGAATTGAAAAACTTGATTTTTTGTTTTTTGTTCAAATATTCTAAATCAATAGATTGTATACTTTTAGCAAAACTAAGGCTAAAGCAATGCAACAAAAAATATTTGATGATATAGCTAAAAAACAACTAAAAATTTTAACAGCATCGAATGATGAACATAAAGAAGAAGGTATAAGATCATTTTGAAATTCCACTGACTCTTACGAGAGAGAGAGACCATGCCTAAGTATTGGATGGGCACCGTTCGATTTCATATTATGGTTATGAGTAGGTATCAGCGAGATTAACACAAGCTTGAAAAAGAATTCGAACCCGTAGCCTACTGATAAAGAATTATTGACATTTGAATGAAATCTTTTTACTGAAAGACATTTTTGAAAAATTCAAAATAAAGAATTTTTACATGAAGTTTTGCCTATAGAGACGTTTGATAGTCATTATTAGTCTTGAAAGTTTGAATGAGAACGAACAAATCTATCTAGAGATATTTAATATTCAAAAAGGTACCAATATATGATATGAGGAGACAATAATCGAGTCTATTTAGAAATTGAATAACTCCAAAAAGACATGTTCGTTTTCGTTGAAACTTTCAAGACTATCTATACACTATGAAACGTGCTCGTAAAGAAAATTTCAAGTCGAACGATATCCGTTCGACAATTGGGCATGTTTCTTCACTAGTTCGAATCAATCTCAGTGAGTTTAATGATTTTGAAACTTTTGAAATTAATGAGAAAGCTGTTTACATTTCTTTTTATTTCTTCACTTGTGTTTTTACAAACAATCTCAAATGTATTACATATTTCCTATATATCAATTTTCATAGTTTTAACAAGTGATGATAAAGACAATAATGTCGAATGTTGTATTTGTCAAAGTAAAGATGATCAAAATCTACTTGGACTAGTTGTTAGATTAACTGATACAGGCGGTAAGCTATTTTCTTATAGAAACTTATCAATTATTTGAATGACATTTAATAGTTCTTGGAGTTCGACAAGTTAGCAATATTTCGGATAATTATCTACCATTATCTAATGATGACTCTAATAATGATGATTCTTCGTTGAAAGATCTCTTAACTTGCTGTCACTTCTCTACTAAACCAAATAATAAAGAGCAATCATCTATGATCAAAAAAATTGAACCTGTTTATCAGAAATATAAACATAAACATGAACTAACATGTGCTGAATATTATGAAGATAAAATACGTGCTATGCTTCAAGTTTTTTCTGAAGTAATCAAAGCTCTTCATTATATTCTAATCATATATATCAAATCTAGGAAAGTGCATCCAAGTCTGTTACAATTAGTTGGAGAACGGGCGTAGTTATTGATTCTTGTGGTCATTCAATACATTTATCATGTTATGAACAATATTTAAAATCTCATATTGTAAAGTTTCTTTGTCTAACGGCTATACCAAAGAAGAAGCATTCTTTATATTTATAGAAAAAAATTAATATAGAAATCGATCTACATAATGAATTTAAATGTCCAATGTGTCGTCAACTATCAAATGCACTAATTTATAGTCCACTAATTAGTAAACAAAATGAATTAAATGAACATTTAATTGATTCAATTACTAATCTCATTGAAAAAAATGTTAAACCCTGTGTAAATAAACTTTATTTTAAACATAAATAAAACTTATTCTTTTCTCAAAAGATTTCTCCTCCAATAGCTGAATGGTTAATAAATTTTATTCAAAAAATGTATATGATGGTAAATAAGAGTCAACGAACAATTAATAAACATGAGAAAGAATTAAATAATGATATTATTGAATTATTTATTGTTTCTATACTTAGGTAAGTTTTATTATAAATTTATCTTAAAATTATTTGTATTGTTTTCTTAATCTCATATAGATTTAATCTAGAGAATGATTCACTCATTCGAGATACTGAACATATTCTTGTAACAATAATCAATCGAAAATCATGCTTTCGTATGTTCTTTTATCAATCAATCGATCGAAAATTAGACAAGACGATCTTATATGAGCATCAATTGACAGATAGTTATTCTCTACTCAAGAGATTCAGATTAATCTAATCTTTCTCTTGTATTTTTGTGGAACACGATCTGATAAGAGTATTGTCTTATACGAGTAAAAATTAGAATCCTACGTAGATCGTAGCACATGTTGTTAATATACAATTACTAATTATATATACATAATGTCTCATTATAATATCTAAACTACTTCTTTATTGAATTGCTGAAGAATAGAATAGAACAGTCTCCTGGTGGCTAATAAGAATAGCTACAACATATTTCACATTTTAGTTCTGCAGGGATTATGTTAACAGCTTTTTCGTTGTTATGATTCTAGGTGAATTATTTTATATCTGCAGTTTACAATATCCACATCTATTGAATAATTCACATATTTCACTTTGGTGTCGAATTACTGGTCTAATGGCGACGAAGTTAGAAAATAATGATCATGATGATACAGGAATTATTTATAAACAAGTTGTTCCATTATTACTTTCTGATCCAGTTGCTTTACTTCTTCGAATCATGCTTAGTTTATCTAATTCAATTACAAAAGGTACTTTTATATATGACTGTGAAATTTATCACTTTATGGGTTTCTTTTTTGTCTTAGAATCTTATCAAGTCATAGTACAAGCTATATTTAATCTAGTTTATATTCAAGCATTATTCACAATTGTTAGTGAAATGAATAAAAGTGAGCAAGAAATATGGAGTAATATTCACAAGAATAAATCTGAAAATGTATGTTTTGATTATTTTCTTTTTGTTTAAAAGAAATAAAATAAAATAAAATGTTTTAATTTGAAGAATATGATGAAATATCTTCGTATTATATCATTTAAGTTATTGCAATCTAATTTTAACTCAGATGCGGATAACGTATGTCTATACTAATCATGATAAGAAAAAGTAATTTTCCTATGATGTCTAGTCAAAAGTTTGGTCTCTTGAATCAATTAATGCATCGATTTATGAACGATGTGGAAACTTCATTAAAATAGCTGCTCTCATACAACATCATCTTTATCAACCAATAACATGGTGGTTTGTAAGTATCTACAATTTTGAACAAAAATGTTCGATTGCAAGCATTAATCTGTCCTTTATTGGTTTACATGTACAGAAGTTACGATTTACACATCTTCTTTCCTGTGTGAAAAACATAGTCAGTGGACATATGCATACAAACGATTTTTGCTTGTCATTTTGCTATTCCACAAGCCACTACTGTTTTTTTTAACTCTAAAAATGGTCTCATATGTCTACTGTAATACCATCAAAGCCCATCAAATATAGCCAACATCTTAGTCATTAGTATGCCCTGAAATAGTGAACTCATGTTGTAGTGCTAATTCAATTATATTCAAAGTTGTGGCTCAAAAACTTTCAAGATAGACTCGTTGTCTCATGTAAACTTTCTACTAAAACTTTCAAATGAATTGATCAAAATCATTGTGGAAAAGATTGATTTCTAATGAAACTCGAAGTAGAGATAGCTACAACATGAATGGATGGTTGGCTCACACTTCTGATCAGTATTTTTGGTCTCATATATGCATCCAAAATTCAATATCATAAAAAACAGTAGCACTTCTTGGAAGGCCAGCTATTTTTATTCAGAACTGTACATTCAACTTAATAAATAAAAAAAAATCTATAATCATTCTTTTAAAGCCGGGTCGTCAATTTCAATTTGATATTTTATGGAAAAATTTGATTCAAGAATTACAATTGTATGATTTTGGTCAGCCATATTGGTATTGTAATGATTCATTATCTTTAATTATCAATTGGTTAGATGAACTATTTCTAATCAATAATCAATATTCAATATTTGTTCGAGTAGGACTTTTTTTTCTTAATCATTATTGATTTGTTATTTAAAAGATTATAAATGTTTTAGCATATTGCTCATGCCATACCTTCGTTTGATTCACCACGCTTTATTGATTTACCTGCATGTTATTCAGATTTATTTCAATCATGTAATCGTCTTCATTGTTCTTATTGTCGAGCACTAGTTACTGAACCTATTTTATGTTTAATCTGTGGAATTGTTTATTCAAAAGAAGGTTCTGAAACAAAATGTTGTATTCAACAAACACATTCTATCAACGAGGTTAGATATTGTTTAGTTATTTTATTTGTAGTAAAATGCTTTTTATTCATCAAACCATTGGAATTTTTCAGCATTTCATTGCATGTAATGATGGTTTACATATATCAATAAATATTAATTCTACAAAAACATTAATTCAACGAAAACAACGTTATACTTATTGGGCATCACTTTATCTTGATAAACATGGTGAAGAAGATATTAATCTTAGGTTATTTTGATAATAAACAACTCAAAATCAAAATATTTTATTTCTTATTTTTATTTCTTTTAGACGAGGTCGAATATTATATTTGAATGAAAATCGATTAAAATTACTCTATTCAGCATGGATTTCAACTAATCTTGATCAACTCACAAATCGATGGTCGACTGATCAATTTGATTTTTAATGATCATAAAATGAAAATATTATAAGAGTACAAAGAAAAAAACATGATTTAATCAATCACAGTTCATTTTATCTTTTATTTGAATAGGCAAAACAAAATGAAAAACAAATATCACAAAAAAAAAACAACAACAAAATATCGATGAACAGATATAATTTCATAATATTATAATACAAGTGAACGAATACCATCAATATCTATTTGTTTGATAACAAAAGAAAAATAATTTTGTTGACCAAGTTGAATATTCCAATCATCTAATGTTTGAATTAAATTAAACTATAAATAACAAATTAAAAATTAATCTAAATAAATAAATGTGTTTTTTTTTCTTTTCTTACCAAATAACCATGTTTATCATAACGTCCACATCGATCAAGTCGTTGATGATAAGTTACATAATCAAGATCAGAATTAATACCAAGTGAACGAGGCAAATTATAATTGATTACTATGTTAACATGATCTAAATCAATACCATGAGTTGTAGCAGATGTTTGAGCAGATAAAAGAAATATTCGAAATGAATTTGAACGAAATTCTTCGATTAATGAAACACGTTGTTGATTATTAAATCTAGTAGTTAGAATTCGAGTTCTAAATAGAAAAAATAAAAAGAAATTTTTGATGATTTCTATATAATGAATATTTCAAAATTTATGAGAAAAATATTAAATTTTTTTCAACATCTAAGCAGAAATATAGCAATACTCTATTACTACCTTAATCATATAATTCTTAGAAACATGATCTAAAAGAAGTGTTGAAGTATACGGATAAAAAGTTCAAATTCACAGATTGTTGCAAACATTACTGATACACAATCAAAGATCGTACATAAATTGCGTCTCATTAAAATATATGAACTACTTCTTTATTCAATTTCTAGAGTATAAAGTAAAAAGATGCTAAAGAAATGCATCCCAAAATAGATAGAATAAAACAATCTTTCTATAATTAATGACATAAGTTACACTGTGTTTCACATTTTAATCCCATAAAGATTATGCTAACAGCTGTTTCCTTGTCATCAGATAAAATAGTCCTCCTAGTAATACATTATTCGTTAAAAAACTTTTCGTTGTACTCAACACTATGAAACGTCAGCTTATATAAAGATATGAATATAACAATGAATTATTTATGTAAATAAAAGTTAAAAATAACGAAAAACATTGAAGTAATTATAGTGAACTATTATATAGAAGATTGTCTAACACTTAGATTTTGATATTAACAAGAATGAATTTGAAATGACTTATGATACAACTTGTAATTAGAAATATTTAGAATTTTGCATTAAAAGAAAAAACACTCTAAATTCGTTTCGTAAAAGCATAGATTTAAATATATTAGTTGTCTTAAAATCATATAAAAATAGAGAGAAAAATAGAGTGTTGTCAATAAACAAGAAATACATATTTTCTTTGTTTAGACATAATTCTGATATATGAATCAAAACATTCATTAGCGACATGATTTCGAAAAATTAAAACATGTGCTTCTTTAAATAATAAATTTTTCTAGAGCTGATTTTTGTAAGTTACATGTACGTTAAATAATTTTAATCAAATATAAAGCTCAATAGTAATTCCAAATGGTACCAAATCCTTCTTAAGAATAATTAGATGGTAGTAAGACAAAAACTTATGTTTCAAGACTTGACAGAATCTCTAGAAAATTAGTTTTTACAGATGTGATGCCGTAGAGTTCACATGAAGCTTGTAGATTTTTGTCTCATATAGTTAAAGAGATATTTATTAATTACTTATTAATTAATAATCATTTAAAAAAGCCAACAGTTACACATCTGTCTATACTGAAAGAACTTATTCAGAAGAATAATCTTTGTAACGAATCAATGTCAAGTGAAAGGTCAGTATGATCTGTTTTTCCAACAAATTAAATTTAATTCATTCAATCAGATACTATATAGATGTTTAAAATGAGTTGTTGACTTGACATAAAAATATTGTTTTGTTAAAATAGAAGGACATACTGATTTTTATTATCAATCATAATTCTTTGATAAAGTCGTTCTGTTGTTTCATCATCAGAACAAAAAATCATAATTTGTACATTGATAAATTGTTCTAATATAATATTAACAATAATATCTTTTTTATTTTCATCATGACACATAATATAAAATTGTTCAATATTATTTAATTGTTGTTTATCTGATCTTTGTTTAATTAAAATTGAATTAGGTATAAGTTCATTTGTAAAATTCATTATTTGATCAGATAATGTTGATGAATAAACAAGTATTTGACAATGATTTACTAATGGTAAATTATCCAAAAGATGAAGTAAAGATTGTCGATAATCTTCACGTATAATCATTGTATCAATTTCATCAATAATAAGCATTTCAAGATGAGAAAAATTTATTAATGATTGAAATGAATCAAATGTATCTATTGTTCCAATGATAATAGGTGTATTAAATGATGTTTGTGTTAATAGAGAAGATGTTGCATATGTGATTTGAATATTTGGAAGATAAATTGACATTTTTTCAATACCAGATCCGACTGTAAAAGCAAGTTCAACAGTAGGTACAATGATTAAAGCTTGTGGTTGAGAAAGAAGAGGTTGAATACGAGCAAGAACATGTATGATGTAGGAAACCTTAAAAAAATAAACGATTAGAGATCAAACGAGCTTCAACTTTCTATTGATTTACGTCAAAAATGTTTTTCTCATATAGATGCCAATTGAAATATGATAATTATTATAGATTTGTTTATAATACTGAAAACAATCTTATCTCTTTACGTAAAACCAAGTCAAAATAGATAATATTTAAAAAGGTTTGTACTTATGGGTTTTTCTTCTTGACTTATGGTCATTTTAATGAGTTTTTTAAACAAAATTTTGTACTCTCTTTCGGATCATCCTTAAATCGACTCATGAGTTCGAATTTGGCTTCAATAAGGTTTTCAATAGAAAGAATTTATTTTGAAAGTGTTAGCTTTTCTGGTATTTTCTGATGTGAGATATAAATATAAGAATAGAATTTGCTTTTCGGATAAGAAAATTTTCAAATTTGGTCTCTGATGATAAACGATACTAAGAAATCTCCTCTACACTCTCAATGAATGAGTCAAGATTGATAATTTTATTCGTGCAAAGTTTTTACTTGAAACCAAAAAATTTGATAATACAGGCTATCTGGAAGAGAGAGACCACAGAATTTAGTTGAAAAATTCATTGAAATGGCCATAACTTAAGAACAAAAACCTATGCAAACAAATGTTTTTAGGTTTTCTCTACTCTTCATTGGATTTAGCTAAGGAGATAAGATTTATCTTATGATGGATGTATCACTTTGCAAGGTTTCCTCGTTCGATGATGTTGAAATATCATTAACTGTATTCTTATCTTATATGGTTTCCAAAGCAAAATCGAACAATATTCTGTTGAAAAGATTATAATTTATAGATAAGAAGTCAATTACTTCTATACTTATGGCTATGCAAACTAAACATAGTTGTGAGCAGCAGTTAAATCATTGAGAAAGATTATCTTCAATAATATTTGAAGCAATGACTGATATTTGTCCTAGAGAGATACATGAGATTTTATTTATGTTGAATATAAAGTGTTTTACAAATCTCGAAACTCAGTTGTAGATATATACTAGTATAAATCATTCGGAAGTTTGGAAATTATCATTAAGAAAAATTTGTAGAAGAGATATTTCAGATATGAAATATTTTTCTGTATATGTTTCATGTCAATGACATCAAACGATAGTTATAAAGGACAAGAAATAAAAATCATTCAATGCGTTTTCAACACATCTTAAATTATTCTATTAATGAAAGAAAAAAGATTGAGTATTCCTATTTTCATGTGCCAGTCACGAATAGAGATATAAGAGACCAAATTTTGTTCTTGTAGTCCCGCTTCTGCACCTATCATCGCTTTAAATCTAGCGAGGAACTGCTCAATTTATAAGTATTCTGTTTGACGAACAATACATATTTTATAATAATCTACCGTTTTTCCAGTTCCAGTTTTCGATTGTACAATAATATTTCTTTGAAATTGATCAGATAATGAATGAGGTAAAATCAATGCTTGTGTATCTGACGGACCATTTTGAAAACCCATAGCATACAAACCAAGAAGTAAACCTGAAGGTAAATTTAAATGTTCAAAACATAATCTGTCTCTTTTATTAAAATCCATTCGATCTGAAAATAAAAGAAAATCTAGTATTTTTTTACGATTAACTTGTTATACAAGACACTTCATCAGCAATACGATTTGCATAAATATCTGATAATTTCCATTTAATTAATTGAAAACATTCTTTTTGTTTTTTTAAAATAATATCAAGTTCATGATTTTTTAAATGAATATGATTATTATTATTATTATTATTAATTGCAAGTATGATTAGAATTTCTTCAATTAATTTTGATAAATCTTCAGTAGCTCGATGAATTTGATCATTCAAAGAAAAATTTTCATTTTTATCATTTGGTATTTGAAGAATTTTACTATAAAGATTATTATCAATATTCATTTTATTATCAAATCGTTTATAAATTTCTTCTAAGCGTTCATTTATTGTTAATGTAGATTTTAATAAACGTATTTCATTTCGTTGTTGTTCAACAATTGTTTTTGCTGTTAATTTCTTTTTTTTTAATATATTTAATTTCTCTTCCAAATTTGACATCTGAATTGAAAAATGCTTTATTTCCATTTATTTCATATCAGATCTATATTCTATCTTTTGAATTAGAAGAAATCCATACAGAAACAGAAGAAACAAGAAGAACAGGCAAGAATTCGGCATAACAAACATGACTATTCACAGTAGATAGAGATAACACAAACGTGTATATATTTATATGTAGATATATATATGACTGACAACATAAGGAAATATGTTTATGATTTGAATTGACTAGATGATCATTAATCATTATTGATCATTCTATGGTTATAAAGAAACACGTTCAAGTAGAATTCTTGGTTCTAAATTTCTTTTTAGAATCATTTGTTTAGTTGCTTGAGCCATATTTAAAGTTATTTGAGGTTTATTAGTAAATAAATCTTCACCTTCATCTTTAACATGAACAACACGATTTAAAAGAATACGTGGAGTATATACTAAAATAATAAAAAGACAATATTTATATAATAAATATTCATGAATAGATATGTGCTGAACTGGAACCAAAAGAAACTGAAAAAGTATTGGAATTATAAGAAACAATGACCACTATGGTGATGTTGCTCAACATGTATTCACAAGATGCTACATTCCAACCTCTTTCCTACCATCCATCGAATAATCCTGAACCCATTACTAACGATTATTGAATCCAATAGCATGCTGACTACGTTTTTATCTTATGATTTGCTAGTGTCTACAGGGAACTGCATTAGGTGGACGTTTTGTTCAGAACTATAGTTAGTATTATTCATAAGACAAATATCTAGCTACTAGACAGTTCTTTATACTGTAAGTTAGAGCTATTCTTCTACAGGAGAAAAGAGTACTCAAACTGAAATTAAAAATTGCAATCAAATTTTCTATGATTTATTAGCGAAATCTTTTATTGGCGACGTTAATCAAAGCGAAATTCAGGAGTAATGACTGAAATAATTTATATTCATCGGTTGAATTAATCAAAACTCAAGTATTGAAAACCTTTTATATTTAATACGAATAAATTCCGAAATAGCTTGTTCTAAGACGCCATGATTGCATAATATTTAACGAAACTACCACTGGAACTGGTACTCAACTACTTATAATCAATTGTATGTTCTTTCTAAAACTTGCAGAAAATAGATGATATTTTAAAAATACTACTTTAACTTTTCCTATCCAATTTATCTGTCAAGATAGTTTAGTTCTCGATTGTAATCTTGTCTACTTAATTCACCCAAAAATTAAAAATAAGAATTCAATCAAACCTGGAGATTGTAATTGTTTACTTATTTGCTGAGGAGCCGATTGACCAGATTCATATTGCATTACCGATTCTCTATGATAATAAAAGTTCAAATATATAATGAAACATTTCTTCAATATAAATAATCAATTATATACTAACATGTGATCAATATTTAGTGTCTTGTGTTTAATTGCAATTGGAGTAGATGAAGTTTTCTTTTTCTTTTGTACTTTTTTAATTTTATTATTCATGTTTGTATTGATTAATGAAGATGATGGAAATAAAGGTGATAATGGAGTTCGAACACTAGAATAAGAATCAATTAAGATTTATACTTTGGAGAGAAAACTAGTTTAATGTAAAATTTAAATTGGCGCTTTTTTTAAAACAATGACGATTGTGGTACTGTAAGTAAAGAATTTTAGAAAATCAAATGAATCTATCGAAGGTTTACAATTTCTTTTTATTCGAATTTAATTCAGTAAAGAAACAATTTCAAGGAGAAAGTATTTACAAATAAAAAAAAATCGGACATGAAACATTTTCTTTGTTAAAATAAAAAAGGCTTATTACTCTTAAATATTCCAATAAAACTTTCTTTATCATAGAAAACCGATGATTCTTTCTGAAAACTAAAGAGACAGTTTTCTTTTATGCATATCTTTTCTATAGTTGTTAAATATATGTAACCGAGAAATTTACTGAATACCAGCTAAGAAAAGTTTCAGGGGAAAATGTTAGAAGCAAGAAACTTTAAGAGAAGGACAATCGCCCTGCTTTCTCTCAGTTATCATATGGTCTGCTGACTATGAAGGGTAAATGTTCAGATTTCATATGAATAAGTACATTATTCAACTTTTAATAAATATAAATGAAGATAACATGACGCTTTAACTCTTCGATTACAGATTCCGTATATATATATATATGAGCTCAGCTTTTAAGCAGATTATGATTTTTACAATCTCTTATCTTCCTTCATTCATAGAGTATTTTCTCTTTCCTTAATGCTTTTTATATCATTATCAATGTGTATCAAGTGCAGAAGAAAAAACTAGGTTTAAGAGTCCATGATAATTTATAGTCTCTATACGCAACATTGTTTAATGCCCTATGAAACCTAACAACAATCCATAAAATTGGTTCAATTTTGTTTGATCTATATTATGATATGAAGCCATAAGATTATTAGTGGAACTATGCGACGGATTTTGCAAGGTTTTGGGCAACACTATTCAATTTTACAAGTACTAAATTTGAATAGTGTTGAATGAATTTTAACGCAATCGGTTGTTATCATTTGATATACTATGGGCAGCCAAAAAATTCTGAGAATTTTCACAAAGGATCGTGTCGGATTTGGTGACCTACTCAGAATTAATAAACCAAACATACCATGTTGTAGAGCAAGCCGAGGCGCGTCAAATAGTATATAATAAATCTTGTTTTCAAAAACTTTTGAGGAAACTAGATTAGATTTACTGATGAGCAGCCATGCATTCAAAGACTTACCGACAGGCATTACCCGTGAAAAACGATAGTGGGTCATCGAAATGTCGCATTTTTCTTTATCAAAAATAGAATGATCCGAAATATCAAGTATATAACCTTGTAGCTCGTGAAAAACTCTACAAAACTGTATATAGGAAAATTATTTTTACAAATACTTTCAACTGATACCAAGGCCCAAAATGGTCAGCGCTTTGAATGCATGACCACTTATCGATAAATCCAGTCTGGTTTCCTCAGAATTTTTTGAAAACAAGATTTATTATATACCATTCGACGCGCCTCGACTTTCTCTACAACATGGTATGTTTGATTTACTAATTCTGAGTAGGTCACCAAATCCAACACGGTCCTTTTTGAAAATTCTCAGAACTTTTCAACTGCCCATAGTATATATATATAGCCGATTTCAAGCTTCCCTGAGCAAAATTCCTATAACCATAAGGTTAATATATACAATCAACCATTATTGTTTTTATTTTTTCTTGATCTCAAATTGTGGCGTGCTTCAGTTTAAGTGTTCAAAAAAAAAAGACTGAAATATATTCATTTGTATGCCTTTTTCTATATAAGAAAACTCAATACTAACTGATTTGATCGATGTTGTTGGTAAACAGATGATATTTCTCGAGATGTTAAATTAAATGATGTATTTTCTTCTCTACTTGGAGAATGTGTAACATTATCTTTATGTATTGTATCCTATGAACAAAAAAAAATTGTACATTACTTAATATCTTCTTTTCTATTCAATAAAATCCTTACAATTGATTGTTTTTTCTTTTTCTGTCGAGACTTTAATGATGATTCTGATGATTCTGATGATGATGATGAACTTGATGAACTAGATCGATGACGTCGTTTAGATTTTGAACAATGTGATCGACAATGACAGTCTAATTTAGGCCAATCATTCATTGTTGAAGGCATCATATAAATAATTGGTGTTGATAAGTTTGAAGATAATGTTTTATTTAATAATGTTAAATGTTTTGGACAACAATTTACATTTGATAATGATGATAATATTGAACATATTAAACAACAATTTATTTTTGGTGTTGAACTCATTATTTTGAAATATTTTAATCTTATGATTTAGATTACTAGAGGAAGAAAAAAAACAATCTAAATAATATCAAAGATTATATATATTCTTTTATTTTCAACATCTAGCTATGTCTGTTTACTTTTTCTTCAAAGAGAAATTTTTCGAATTTTATACAAAGACAAAAATTTCTTTTCTTTTTTTTTTTTTTTTTTCTTTTGTCTTGTTCAGAGAATGGTCTATCGATCTAACCATTAAGTTAGTTCTTATCATTCATGTATATTTTTAACACACAAATGCATTTATAATACAGAGATGAATGCGAAGGCACAAAAGTATGATTATATTTAGAGTTACACTGCGTTGTTTTGTTTGTCTTTATATTTATTATCTCTTACAATTGGTTACTATTTATGACATTATTATTGTAGATTCTTAAATTCTAGTTTCATTTTTTTTCCTTATTGTTTTATTTCGTTTACATTTTTCTTTTATTCGTTTTTTTTTCTTTCAAACAGAGAATATAAGAGATGACTAGACAGTGAAGAAGCAAAAGGATTTATAGCCTCTATATATAAATATATAGATATGTATATGTAACATGACCTTCATTCAAAATTGAATGTATAAGAATTTCTTTTTTCTATTTATCAAGGGTAATGATAATAGTTATATTTAGAATCTTCGATTATAAACAATGAATTTATTCTAACAAATAAAAATTATTTTTTTTTGAAGACCTTGATTAAGAAAAAAACAAAAGATTTATTATAAATGACTCATGGATGTTTTTCTTCTTTTTTTTTAAGATTAGGGAGACAAGTTGGTGTTGAAGGCAGTGGGGAGCGTAGAGGAGTGACGTAGTAGAAGAAAAAAATAATAATAAAAATAATTAACATCGAAAGGAAAACGTAACATCAAAAATGAGTTCAAGAACTAGTTTATGTTACAAATGTAATCAAGTAAGGTTTTAAATAAATTCATTTATTAAGTTGTTCATTGTTATGATATTTTTATAGCCAGGTCATTTTGCTCGAGAATGTCCAGATGGTGATGGTGGTGGCGGCAGTGGTAAGAACAATAGATTATCTCAATAAAACTATCATTTGAACATTGTTTTTTAAAGGTGGACGTGGTGGATATAGTCGTGGACGAGGTCTGACATGGCAAAAATTTTGGCGTTCCAACTATTGAATTTATATTTTATAGGTTCGTACGGTGGTGGTGGTGGTTCATATGGAGGACGAGGTGGTTCATATGGTCAGTGTTTGATTTCGAATAGATAATAAGTTTTTCATAGACTATTTTTGAAATTCAATAGGAAAAAAAAATAATAATAATCATAGATTTTGAAAAGATGAAAAGAAAAATTTATATGCATGATTTTATCTTTTTGTTTTTGATTTTAGGTGGTTCAGGTCGTGGTGGAGGTTATGGTGGTGGTTCATCGTATGATAGATCAGGAGGTACTCGTTGGTAAGATATATAATTATTTAGTTTTACTTAATATTATTTCCATTGTTTTTAGTTATCGTTGTAATCAATCGGGTCATTTTGCTCGTGACTGTCCATCGGATAGTACACAAAGTGTATGTTATAATTGCAATCAACCAGGTTAGATTTAATTCTAGTTAATAGTATTTTTATTGAAGATTAATTGTTGGTTTTTTTTTTCTTTAGGACATATAAGTCGTGATTGTGCTGAACCACGTTCGAATAATTATGGTGGTGGTGGTTTCCGTAGTAGTCGAGGTAAGTTGAAATTTTATAGAATTTTCGATTTTATTTATTCTATTTGTTTAAGGTGGCGGCGGCGGTGGTGGCGGAGGTAATTGCTATCGATGCTCGAAACCAGGTCATTTTGCACGTGATTGTCCTGAACCGGACACACGTGATGGACAAAGTGGCAGTGGTAGTGGTGGTGGTAATAATAATCCATCAAGTCAACAAGATGACCGTGACGATGGAAATTAGATAAAGAATAAAAAATAAAAATTTGAATTTTTTATCTATTAAAAATCAATTAAAAAAATTTCTATAAGACTTAAATTTTCTCTCTAACTCTTGTTTTTTCTTTTTTTGCGATTTCTGTTGTACTTTTCATTTGTTTATTCGTATATCTAACTAAGCATGATTTTTTTGGATAGAGACATCAAAAGATAAAGAAGAAGAAGGAAATAATAGAAAACGTATTTTATTACAAAAAACAAAATATGAATTTATCTTATAAAATACGGGTTAGTTTGTTCGTGTGTGTGGTTTGTTCTTGTTTTTTTTCATTTATCTGTATTCCGCATTCTTTTTGTGTTTATCAATTGTTGTTGTTTTTCTGATACTGCTATAGACGGTCTTGTATGTACTACTGAAAAGTTGGAAAATACAAGTAGACTTTAAAGCGTGTCGGTGAAACTCCGACAAATATATTTGTCTATTGATGTAAGATCAGAATGGTTTTCTTTGAGTTATTTTTTTCCATTAAAACACTTTGTTAGATTGAAGAAGTGAATGATAATGCATTAAGGATTTGTTAAAGATGATTTGCAATCTACTACGATAGTGTTATTTAATCATAATAATCAAAGACAAAAAGTTTGTCATACTTAATTGAGTGTTGGTTGACTGATAGTTAGATAATAAAAATTCGAGTCTGTATTCGTTTTCCAAGGAAAACGACAATCATTTTTTTCTGTTTTTTCAACTTTTTCTAATCAAACATCAAATATAACCTTTTCTCTATTACCTTTCGAAGGATGCCCTTGAGTCGTACTGACATCTAAACTTACCTTTATACCTGAACCAATAAAAGAAACTTTATATTTATACAGAATGCCAAGTCAAATTTGATCAATAAGTAATTGAATCTCAATCCTATTCTATTATGACTCAGAAATATGTTTTAGCACAAATTTGAACTTGAGTTCAAAAAGAAGAGATTTTTTTCGATCTTCGTGTAGCTTCGACCTTAAAGATTTTCGTTTTTTCGTTGTCTGACTGGGACCAGAGAAAAATTTTTTTTCGAAGTAAAACCTTGTTCTGATTTTTTTACGCTTCGTTTTCGCCTACTATATTGATGAATACATGGGAACAGGAACTATGGGAAAGAGCAAACATGATATGATTTAAAAAAAAAAAATCATTTCTAATGCTAACCACTACTTTAATATAGTGACAATCAAAGAAATCATTTACTATAATCTTTATTATTAAATAATTGTGATCCATTGTAGTGGTCTAGAATGAAAAAAAATAGTAACTCCTTGGAGATGAGTCGCATATATATATGTGATAGTTCTGCATGTACTCATAATTCATTTGTGAGTGTCTTTTACAATGCTCTTCTGGTCTGTTTGAGAATGATGATCATGCATCAATATTGCTCTCACCTTCTACGATTTCTTTTCTTTACTTTGTCAGAAAAATATCATAAGAGACATCCATGAGTGACTGATGAGTTCATACAGAGCCATTACGTATACATACGTAGCCCATTCCCAAGGAGCTAAGACTATGTCTCATTTTGAAATATTGAAGTGTACTCATGAAAACGAACATAATTTCAATATGAAAGCGGTTAGACACATACTCGAAAGATTTTATTTTGTACTCAATTTACAAAGTATTCTTAACATGCCAAAACTCTCGGATTGGATTTTTAGATGAGTTTTCTTATCCATGAAACATTGAACAGATTAACAGATATTCAATTGTACAATTTCAGTTTCCGATATTTTCACTGAATATCAATTGAACTTCGTAAATTTGTCTGTCATCAAGTTCTTTTCTAAACTGAAAGTATTTGCTCATAATAACAAGATAATTTTATTCTCTACATTTCTAACATCTTTGTAAAAGTAATGATGCTGTTGATTATAATTAAAAGAATCAAAGCTGACACCTAGAGGTCTGTTTTAGATATGCCCTTAAAAATATTATTTTTTAAGGCTAGACGCGGACTGAAATATTTACTAGTAGACAATTCTATGCAAAACTTAAGCCTAAAAACGATGTACAGTTTTATATTGAACTAAGCCATGGCATTTACTTACGTGAAACTCTAGAAATTTCGCCGCAAGTTCCTTGCTATACCAATGGCCTATTGGTCAAAAAGTCAATTTTTCAAAAAATAAGGATTTAAGAGAAAGGCTAATTGAAATGATCTTTAAAAAAAAATAAATCTATTAGTATATTTTGTAAAATAGCTTCTACTCTACAAGCTGATGTATTAATGAAAATATTTACTTCCGAGTTGAAATAATGAAGGCACCAGCGTATACAGAAAAATTTTCCGTCCGATCTATTTTCGGACCTTTCAAAAGATCATTTTATTAGTCTGAAGAGAAATTTGAAGGTCATGTTCGAAAGGAGAGCACAAAATTCGGGTCATAATCAATAGCTTTTGATACTTCAGAAACACTTACAAAGAAAAGAAAAATTAAAACTTTCGACCTATCTGTTATTAATGAATATTTGTATCCGTTGCATCTATTTTTGCATTGAACTATTATGCAACTCATGTAAATGCCTCATTATTAATTTTGATATATATCATATTCCCTTCTAGCAGCATTAACAATATTATAAATTAAGAAGACAGCTAATATGTAGGAGTGATTCGGTAGATATTCACATCCAATAATACGAGTTTTTATTTAATTAAACTATTGAATCATATTTTTATTTGTACCTTTTTTCCTATAAATTGCTATCGATTGTAATCAGAATACTTATATTTTCGTTATTTTTTCTTCTAAATATGATTGATTATGTATGAATTGATGTAATTTAAATCAATTAATTCTACTATAATTGAAGAAGAACAATTTGAATATATTTTATTTTTATTCAGTCTTATTATCTTATACAATTAAAAGTTATTGTTTCAAAATTTTTCTTTTAATTCCGATAAAAATTCATCATTATTTTGATACTTTCGATTGAAAATATTTTTGAGCATTTTCATACGAAATATTTTTTGTGGAGATAATTGTTGTTCTTGAGGCGTATCTTTTTCACCACTATTCATATCATCATGAATATCCCTTGTAAACCAAGCATATTTATAATCAGTATCAAGAGAACGTTGGTTGTTTGATTCAAACGACGGTCGATATTTAGAATCTGTATAATGGACAGCAAATACAATATTTAACAATAATAAAATGAATATCAGTTGGATAATATTGCGGATTCCGGGTGAGATCATTATTGCAATAAACGTGAGGAAAATAGTCAACTTGTCGAAGTTTATTTCACAATACGTGTGTGAATAAAATAGAAAAAAATGTATCATCTTATATTACTGAGAATTTTTGTTATCGTAGAAACAACAGTTTAAGTAAATACCCCGTATGAGAAAATATAGTTGATTGTCTATATTTATTGACACGTCAGTCATTCTTATTAATATAAAATTATCATGTATATGAAACTAAAGAGGATTAATCAAATGACAGAAATCTAAATATATATATAAGCCAATAGAATATAATATAAAAAAGTATGTTTTAAATGAAATGTATGCAAATCATAATTTTATATGTCATATATTTACCGAATATTAATTTAATATAATTCCGTTGTTCGATTTTAATAATATTTTTTGAAATATTTTATCGTTTGCGTCAGCAATTAACAAATATCAATATGAACGCACTCAATCGAATCTTTGTAGCAAACAGACAATATTTCGGAAACTACATCATGATATTCTTCTTCTATGCATTGTTTGGTATACGAGAAATTTTACAAACAGTAGAATATTTCGTGTTGATCATTTAGAATCATAGAACAGATTCTAATTGATAAATAAAAATCATAACCATAATTTTCTGTATTTCATCTAATTGTAATTTAAATAACAAGTTTGCTGTTTAAGTATTTCCATGCATGTATAAATTTACAGATGTATACGTTCAAACATTCACAAGGAAAGTCCTCCATTCGTGTCCCTAACTTTTTGATACGATGATACAACACTTTCACAGTATTTTTTAAATTGATGCTGTCATAAGAGAAAAACTGATTTTCGTATTTCCACTTGAAACATTGCAGAGAGATGGGCCTTAGTGAAAACAATTTTTATGAATCTTTTGAGATCTTGTTGCTGTTTCTATCCTAGTAGCTGACAGGATTTAGTTTTTCGAATTTATTTTTTGATTTTCCTATGAATTCACTATATATCTTATCATGAAATGGAAAAAACTATATTGAGAGTAGATGCTGGACTGGAAATGAGAGTAAAAGAAACACCAGAGGAAAGGCTGGCACTTCAGAATTATGTCTTTCTCTTGGTACAATTCAAATATATTACATGTTATCAATAGATTAATCTATAGAAATCGAACAGTTTAAATGGATCATATAAATGCCGAAAAAAATATGTTCCGTTAGTCCGTCTTACCATAATACTCATGTAGAAAATACTGTAAAATTGAAGTATCTCTCCAACACTAAGTTAAGAACTCGAACTTTTTACAGAGTTCCTACCTCATTTGGATTTATATAAGATGCATAGTCTTCATAGAAAACGTGATGCATTAGTTCAAGGACTTTTCTCATTAGCTTCTATGCATGTTTCTATATGCATTTGACAGGTGAGAATTTAATATTCAAACAGAAAAACATCTAGAATTACATGTTTTAGCTGACATGTCTGAATCAAACAAGTGACAATAAACGAGTGATATGAATGTCATTGGAAAACTGAATGTATCAAATTTTGTACATCGAAGAAATTTTGTTATTTATTATATGCATGAAAAAATTCTTGATACGATTATGACTAAATTCAAAGAAGATATCTCAGATTTTCGAACAGAACTAAGTCAATAGAATCAGAAAAGACTATTTTGTTCCGTAATACAGTTGTTACATTTATATGTTATTATCATTTAAAATAAATGAAAAAAATTTGATTCATTATTTATTAAATCATATTAATGAATACTTTCGTTTTAAATTTTCAAATAAGAAATTCATCAAAAGGGAAATCAAGTGAGATATCATTTGTTTTACAAATTCAAAAAAAAATCAACTTTTGGGAATATGAGGTTGTCGATAAAAAAAAAAGGAGAAGAATCATTGTTGTTGAAATCAAGAAATCAATGCGCATATAGATCTTTTATTAGCGTAAAAATCTTTTTTTGTCTACTTTGGTTCATATATAATATTTTCACCAAGTGGATATTTTCGATCAAATATCTTATTGAAACTTTTAAAACTAAATAAATTTTGAATTTTGCGTGGACGGTCTTGTTTCATTTCGTTAATGTTAATATCATTATGAACATCTCTTGTAAACCAAACATATTCATTGTTATTGTCACTTGAACGTGGTTTTAATAATTGATAAAATCGTCGATTGTCATTTGATGTTGCATATGAACCACATATAACATTTACTAATAATAAAAGTATTAAAAATCGTACAGTATTGGATATCATGGATGAGAATATTGTTTTAGTAAATGATAGAGACTGATTTGTTGGAGAGAATAACTCACAGTCTGCAAGTGTATGTATGAGAGTCATATTACTTAGAGAAAATTATATTTTTATGTAGATTAAGCGAGAAAAAAAAAAAAGAAATATGCATTTGACATGCGAGAGAGATTCCACAGTAATGCTAGTCATTTCACTAAGCGACATTCTTGTCTCTATTTTTTTTAGACTCTCGTTGCTTTTGAAAATCAGTCAAAATTCTTTTGACAGCGGCTTTATATAAGATTCTAGCCTGAAAAATTATATCTTGGTCTTCGGGCGAGATTTATGTACAATGAATCTTGGCTGATGAGGCAATAATCATTTTTCAGACATAATTTTTATATTCTTTTCTACTTTCTTTTTTTTTCTCTGGTCTAATGTGTTCGCCACAGATACCTGTTAGCGCAATCCTTGCAGGATTAAAATGTAAAACATGATGACGCTGCTCTTGCTAATTATAGAGAGATTGATTTATTCTATCCTGTTTGAGACACATTTGTTTACAATCTTTTATTTATTCCTCCAAAAATACGATAAAGATGAAGTTCCAATATAATAACACTACGTTATTGATATACGATCTGTGAGTGCATTTGAGCAACGTCTGCCACAGTCTGTGTGATCCAAACTTTTATTATTTCAACACTTCTTTTAAATCGTGTTTCACAGAAATAATAAATGATAGAAATCATTTACTTGCATAAAAATAAAGAAAACTGATTAAAGTATTTTGTGTATATATTAAAAATATATTTCTCGAATTATAATTCATCTTCCACGTATTTACTAATTAGTATCGATGATGATTGAACTGTCGGTAATAGGTTGTCTATAAAAACTCTAAAATTAACTATAATTTGATCTACTCATATATATCAATAGATTCACCTTTACCATGAAGTATTTTCATTTATCCGGTGTTGACATTCAACACATATGTTGTTTGAAAAATAAATCTACAATTGATTTAATTAAACACAAGAAGTATTAAATGTCTTTCTATAAAAATGAATAAATAGTGTATTGACATTTGCCTTTAAGATCAGACAGAAATATTGTCTGACTTCCAGATTTAAAAAGAACCTGAACAGAATCGATTCGAGAATATCAACTAATATTCATTATTAAGAAAGAAAAAAAAAGGAAATTTTTATTATAATTAGAGGTAAATAAAATTATTTAATAGCTGAAGAACAAAAGATCATGACAGAAAAATAGAGGAAAATACAAGACTAAACCATGGCATAATAACCATATGTTCCGATTCCACACATGCTATTCTTATTACGTGCTATTTTAAAATAACCATCTAAACCCCAACTGGAACCCCATGAATTTCGGACCACTAAAAACAACATAAAATATGAAATAAAATATTCTTGTATTCAAAAAATTCGATTACATACACCAATAATCTTTTCCATTTTCTGTTCCATATCCAACAATAGCAATAGCATGATCAACCTGTTTGGAACAATTTGGTATATCAATTATATCTGATCCACGTCCACCTTTTGCTCCACCATAAAATTGTAAATCTGATGTTGTATGTATAGCTCCAGCTAATGGTCCATAAGTACTTAATGCTTGTTTCATAGCTTCTTCATCACCGCGTTGTGTATTTCCATAACCTCTTATAGCTCCAACTTTTGTTGATCTTAAACTACACATTCGTCGAGAACTAACATATGGATAAGATGTGTCAGGTTGAAGACCACCACGTTGTTTTATATAATCATATGTAGTACCCAAATAACCACCTGAACAACCATTGTTTGGTGAACAATCAACTAATTGTTGTTTTGATAATTTAACTTTTCTACCTGTTTTTAATGCATGTGTACCTTCGATAGCTGCTGTAACAGCAAAGGCATAACATGCTCTATACAAAGAAAGAAGAAGAAGTAGAAGATTTTACTTTGAATAAAACAAAAAAAAACTAACCCACAACGGCCTTGATTTTCTATTGGATTCATGTATGGTCGATAATCAACAGTTGCTTTTGTTGCAAGACCACTTGTTGGTCGTCTAGTAACTGTACGTTGAACTGATGGATAATATGCTGGTGGATAGTATCCTGGCTGATAATATGTTCCTGAACCACTACTAGGTTTCCTTCCTGGCATTAATTTGTCTTTAATTTTCTTTTTAATTTTCTTTTGTATTGAGTCCATTAGAAAACGTCGAATACGTTGATTTGTTTCTTGTTCAATAATTTCCCCAGGTGGTTTTTCACCTTGACCATCCGGATTTAAACCAGTTAATTTTTGACGAAATTCATCTAAGCTCATATCACCAAATTGATTTAAATTTAATTTAAATGATTTGAAACCTTTATCAAAATTTAAATTTTCTTGTATAATTATCTTTAAATTATCAATAAATTTTCCCAAACGTTCTTTTTCTTCTTCCGGTGTTGAATAATTTTTTTTATAATATTTTTTATACATTTTCCATAATCTCATTGCATTTTTACTATCTTTTAATACATCTAATTTAGATTGTAATTTTTTTGACATTTTCGCCATAGCTTTATTAATTGTTTCATCAATAACCTAAAAATTTTGAAAACTTTTTTTAAATACGAAAATAATAATAATCATAAGAATAAGATATTATTCTTACTTCTTGTAATGAACGACCATTTGTAAATACGGCATCTTGAGTCTCAATAATACAGCATAATACAAGCATACCAAAAAATAGTATACGTAACATCGTTGAGAATGAAAAAATCCAATTTAAAAAAAAAAGTAATGATTACAACTTTCAATATATGATGCCTCTTTTTATCTGTTGTCTTATCGAAGCATATCCGTTTTCATTCGAAAAGAAATATTATCTATTATAGAACGTAGGTTTTGTTTTCGTTTTGTTTACATTTATTTAATATTGTAAGTTAACTTTGATTTGAATGATCCTTGTTCTTGATATTGTTATCTTTAATGACCTGGGTCAAAACGAAAGAAACAAAAATGTTGAACGTTTTTTATAGACAACTTGTATATATGAATGATAAGAGATTTATCGATATCATCTATTTGAAACTTTAGAATATAGATAAATATGAAAAATCTTTCATTCGTCTTTCTTTTTTGAGCGTTTAGTACAATTAGATGATTTAATATTTAATATTTGTTCCTAGTAATCGTTTTTTCTCAACTCAATGAAGACGTCCAATTATTAATGAATTCAAAACATCTATATTTCGATATTGTTCTTGAATGAATGGTTTTTTTGACCGAACGATTATATATTTTAGTTACTTATGAAAATTTACAGGAAAAATTTTTGAAATATCCAAGTGTACAACACAACATTTGAGATCATTAAAGTGTTCAATATCAAGGTTTCTATCAGTATTAAAATGTGCACTTTACTTTAGAATAATCTAAATGTCATCTTTTAGTTGTTCTTTTATTAAATAATCGAAAAAAAAAATACATGTTCACAGTCAAATACAGCTTGATATTCGTTGAAATATACTATTTTAATATTGTTTTCTGTAAGCAAAGTCAATGGAACGAGTAAATATTCATAGCCAATAGCACTGTATATATTATAATTGTCCGTAAATCTTTTTTATGTGAATTAATAATTTAAGCAAAGCAGAATTATTCAAATTTATCAACATATTAAAAATAAAATTGTTTTTTTTTTTCGTCATTAATTATATTTCATATTGTATTCTGCTAAAAAAAGAATCATAAATATCATTCGACATATAATTTCCTTAGATCCATACACGGCTAAACTGTCAGATAAAAGTTTATTTCCATTTATGACTGATCAGTAAGCCATGTGAAGATCAATGGAAATAATTTTTATAAAAATATTTGTGAACATATATTAACATATGTATATGTACATATCTGTACTCACCTGATTGGCTGAGCATCGTCAAAAACTTTTTATTTTTCGTGCAAGAAGACTACTGTCGCCTATCAGAACTATAATCGTAATGACAATACAAATAGTCGCGCGCGACAAAGGCAACGACTCCTTTGCTTCTCGCTCTCGTTCTCTCTCTCTTTTTGGCTATGAAGATATCTTACTACGATACTCGCGTTTGCAAACATAGAGGCCATGGCCTTCGAGCTTCTTTCTTTTTCCCTCGCTCTCCTTGGTTGTAATTGCTTTCGCATCTTGTGCTACTCTTTCTTGCTTACGCACAAATGCTAAGGTGGTGACAAACATACGAAAAAAAGTAACACAAAGACACTTTATAGTTATTCGCTGGTTTTTTTCTTACTCTCTCTCCCTCTCTCTCTCTCTTTCTCTCCCTTTCTCGATTTGCCTTCTCTATATTTTTTTGTAGCAAAAAAGAAAAAAAAATAATAAGCGTAGACAGTAGTTACTGGATACCTAAATATCGATGATGTTCAAAAAAAGGGTGCTATTAATCGAAAGATTGAAAAAAGACAACGGAAAGTCTTAACTAATCCTTATATGAGATATACGAACAGCTGATCTTACGACAATTACCATCACAACTAACAACATTTCGACTCTATACATATGAAGAAAAAAAAAGAAAAAGAGAAAATATGTTCTTAAAACGAAATGCATGTGCATACTACACCCAAAATGTTTGCATCAGTCGCTGACAGCGTTTGCTCTGTTCTCCCCTTTTTTTTTTACGTGTGCACATTCGAGTGCATGACTTACACTAATGCAATCATTTTTTCGCTGTCTCTTTTCTTTTCGTGTCTTCTGTGCTCTCTGCTTCTCTCACACATACACACACACACATGCTTGATGTAGGCATGTGTATGCATGTCCTAATTTCGTTTTTGTCCTCTTCTTTCTCTTATGCATTGCACACAAACTATGGCGACACTCGAGCTGAGGGACGAAATCTTACTAAAATGAAGGAAGAATGCGCAGGCATACACGTAATCGTATACAGGAGTAGACAGAAAGCTTTCGACGTTTCTCTGTTTTTTTTTATGCTTTCCGATTCTTTTTCATCCAAGGCCATAGTACAAATAGGAGACACTCTATAAATCAAATAGCATATATTCAATATAAAAATATACAATAAATATCAGATGCTTTAAACGAAAGAACAACAAAATTTTGCATCTTTTCTCATGCATATAAATTAAAATAACTATTGAAATCAATCGCAATGGATTACTTTATATTACTTACTAATAGTGAATAATATTCGAATAAAAACGTATACGTTTGCATGTTTTCTCGCGCGTACACACACTCTCTCTCTTTCTAATCATCTGTCAATATTCAAATAGAAATACTAATCAGCATTAATTCGATTTATTGTTGTTTCAATCTTACCCACCATATTGTTGCCAATAGTATAGATCGTATCGATAGTCAGACATTAACCATAGAAAAGAAAAAGAAAACAACAATTGTCGTTTTGTCATATCGAACATTGATTGCTTATCAGAAAAGCGATATTGATCATCTAACTGTTGATTATGCATCCAAGATATGATGCAACTACCAAAAAAAAAAGAAAGAAGAAAAAGATGACTGTACAAAAAAGTAAATGACATTTACATTTCCATTAGTAAATGCATATAAAAGCCTTGTTATTTGTTCATCTCCGCATTTGACAACATACATAGACAGAAGATATGGGCATTTGTGATGTGTAGAAGTGTCTTCTTTAGAACAAAGTTTTCTTTTTGACGAATGGATGTTTTTTTTGCTGTATTGTTGATAGAATAGTCTATGCGTTGTATTATCCATCGTTTATAGTAATGCACAGCTATACTACATCTCATCATCGTCAACGTCATTGAAAGAGAACTGATGATGGGCATATATATATACATATATATCAACACTGGTTTTTTTCTTATTACGTAGTTGTTAAGTAATGAAGGATTTCTCGGATGATGGACAGTGTAATTTAGAGTTGCAATGAAAAGTCTGTCAAGACGAGCTTTTTTAAATATCATTGTCCTTGATATGTTTATTAGTTTTTTTCTCTCTGTTTAAAAGAAATTTAAATGAATAGAACAAATCATGAGTTTCGACGGCTGTTACATAGAGACGTGTACTTGATGCAATTTGCCGGGTGGATGATAATCGGTTCGTCACGCTATGCTTTCATCCTTCTTATCCTACGTGCGCATATGTCGATGTATGTCCGCTCGTCTTTCGCTGACCTATTCACAATGCGATAATCGAAATTTCTTTTTTTTTCTTTTTGCTAGTCTCTTATAACTAGTTCAGAGTTGTTGCAATAAACAACTACACAGGCATATTCTTTGCTGCAAAAAACGCTTTTTTTGTTTTGTATTGTCAACGATATAATTATATTTATCTTTATTGCTTCAATGAATATTTTTCTGTCACACATGTTATATGCTGTACAGTAAGTGACTAAACTAGAGAGAGAGCAAAGAAAATATCGACTTGTATTCGGACACTTTCACAACAACTGCAACAACAAGAATCATCAATCATTCTATCACATTTATTTTATCGATGTTATTTAATCAATATATAAGAATGAGAACGATGTCTATCCCGTCATATTAGCATGTAAAGAAGAATAATTCCATTGACTGCTTTTGTTTATTTATTTTACATGTAATCAATCTTATTTTTTGTTTTACAAAATTTATCATCAATATCATTTATGAATTGTAAGATATGAACTACTGATTTATTCAATAATTTGATTATACAATCATAACAAAAAAAAAAAAAAGAAACAACAGATAATTAATATGATGTCAAATTTCAATGAAAGACGAAAATAAATGTGAAAATAAAAGATGATAATACAGATACATACGCACTATGACATTGATTTTTGATGTATGATAGTAGTACTATGATACACACTAAGTTACTTTTGAGTAAAATAATAAACAAATATAACTACTCCAACAGAATAATATTGATTATTATATTCTGATAAGCATTGAAAAAAAAAATATATATATATAAAATGGTTAAATATCAAATGTAATAATGTTTTATTATGCAAATGATTTTTTAACTAAATAGAAAAATTCTATATTAAGAAAAACAGACTTGTAAATTAAATTGAACATATCACATTATTTTCAATAGTTTCTATGTCTTAATACAGTAAAGAAATTTTGTTGTATCAAAATCATACTTATCGACTATGGAGTTAATTATGTAAGAATAACAACTTATCAATAGTCTGATTTTTCAACGTGTTTATAACAAATCTACTTTAATTTTAGTGTTAGTAAAAGTTATTTGAAGGATTATTGGTATATTATAAATGAACTCAAAAAATGAGATTCTTATTAGCTTTTTTTTTGTTCGAACAGCTGTTATCAAGTTTCTAACATTATCATCAAAAATATTTGTTGTTTTCTTTTGTTGATAACGTTTTCAATTACTAACAAATCGAAAATAATAAGTTAACATATTATTGTGAGTTGATGTATAATATTATGAGAAATGAATACACCATTTTTACAATTGCTAAAATATGATATCATTGTAACAATCTGTTAATAATGCAGATAATATCACCTTCAATCAAATACTATATATAGAGTGATTGATGAATAAAGAAAAAGTATGCGTTCAAGATGCCTACGATGAAATAACTTAACAACAATATGCACAAGCCTTCCAGAAATAAAAAGATGTTTATTTTTCGAAATCAATGAATTCTTGATTTAACAAAAACAACAAAAGAATATACTTCTTCGTTATTAGATGAATATTTTAATAAGATTAGTAAAACATTACAATCATATTTTATTGTCAGTATTTTATATGAATTATCGAATTATTTTCTCATTTTGTATTATTACAATAACTTACTCTAATACAAAATTGTATTCATTTTTCTTCATAACACACTTCTGGATAAAATGTATTGATTTAATTTTAAAAACTTATCGATTGAAGAATATTATGACATTAGTTTGACTTTGTATTAAGATTTTATTTCTGAATTAGCATCTTTCACATAGACATATGCAAATATGTTGGTTCTTTCATCTGACTATTAATTAAAAAAGAATTAGTGAATATCTCATTATTCATATCAGAAAAAAAAATTCAACAACTTTAGGATAGACTAAATGACACGAACCATATGTATGGTGAAGTTTTCAGCAAGATCTGGCCGAAAAAAAACCATACTATTAAAAACAGTTTTTCTAGAGATTCTATCAAATTCTGAAACAAAAATAGTTGTTCTACCATCTTCTAGAGATTCTGAAGAAGGCTTTGTAGCATTTAGAATTTGTTTTGAATTTCTCGTTTGATTATAAGAGCTTTTCTTTGTATTTGTAATTATATTCGTCGTTCATTACATCGATAATGTTAGTCTTTTTTTTTTACTGATAACACTTCTGAAGAAAGGTCTCTAGAACTGATTTTTTTCAGAATATTTAGAGTAAGTTAACATACATGTGGCGTAAAAAAAATTAGTTCTAGACAAGTTCATCATCCTGACATACATATGTTTTAATATTACGAACTCACAATGTTAACAAATGATTTATTCCATATGTGAATAGATCGTTTTTATTTGTGCATGGTCAATTAATTTATGATATGATTGTTTTAAAGATCAATGAAGGAAAAAGCTGATTTGTAATGTTATTGTTTTTTTTGTTATCAATAACAATTGTCTCATTTTCTATGTTTTCTATTCTTTAGTCAATATAAACTAAATTCTAACCTCTGACTCATTTCACTCATTCGTGTCTCACTTTTTTTCCATTCTACCTAAAAAGAAAGAACAATTTCCTTCGCACGCAGTTCAATTCGTCAGACGCGATAGTTCATTCTTTTAAAAGTTGAATTGTTCGTTGAACGTTTGTTTCTTTTTCCATTCGAATTTAAATATACCAAGTTCAAGAAAAAAAAAAGTCAACGAAGAATGATTCGTATGTTATTAATAATATGTTTAATATTTCTAATTGAAACTGATGCAAAACGTCATCGTTGTGTCAATAGTGGTGTACTATTTTCTGATAAAATTATGCGTTCACCAATTGTTGTTTATGGTCAATCAATATCAAAAAAAATCCACTTTGAAACAAATACTGAATTACTTTTTAATATTACATTTCGTGTTGATTGTATTTTGAAAGGAGAAGATATTGAAAATCAAATTGAAATAACTGAAGCAGGTAGGAAACAAAAAAAAAGAATTGTCGCTTTTTTTTTTCGTTCGAATATAAATATATATTTGTTTTCAAGGTATTAAAGTGGGTCATACAGCTTGTCAATGGCTTGAACCCGGAGAACGTTATATTGTTTTTGTTGAAAAATGGGGAACAAGCATGAATAGTTATCGTCCACTTGATTTTCAAGAAGTTATGGTTGATAATATGACATATGAATTGTTAGAAAAAACATGTCATTTAACACGTATTTCACCATTACATTCAAAAATAAATAAATGTCCTAATGTATCAATAAGTGAATATTGTCCTCGTAAGTTTATTATGGGGAAGTGTTAATTGCTCGAAAGGAAAAAAATCGAAGTGTAAAATCTCGAATGAGCAGAAGCTCAACAGTGATTGGATGTGAATGTGAGTATTGATGAGTGGAGAACAACACTTCCTCATGAATATTTACAGCTAGAAATTTATGATTGAAAAATGACTTATCTATCAATTATTCAAATTAATTTTAGATTTTATTCTTCAATCTTTTTTCTTTCGAGCAAACAACACTAATTTGTTTATTTATTTTTTTTTTGTAAATTTTTCTGATAGATGATGACATTGATACAAGTATAACATCAAGTGAAGAACATCCAAATAATATAAATTTCAATGTTAAATCATCTTATTTTGATGATGATAATAAATTTTATCGTCAATCCAATGTAACCATAATAAAAGATGGATCTATAATAACACAAATTGAAAATTATTCAAAAAGTAATGCATATGCATTAACAATAAATTGGATTTCAATGATAATAATAATTATTATTGTTATGATAATGTTTATCTAAGATTCTGAAATATTTAATATTAATCAAGATTATCTTTATTCTTATTAATTTTTTGTTGTTGTGTATTAAATAAAAAAAAAATATATATATCTATTAGTTTTCTTTGAAAAAATTCAAAAAAAAAGTTAAACATCGATGTGATTAGAATGTCATATCAATATCTGCTCTAAATTAAATTTTATGAATATAAACCATCAATGTCTATATTGTATTCTACAAATTTTTATCATCACATAATGACTACCGAATTTTTTCTTCAAATTAAGTGTATTTCTTCCTTTGCGAACAGGTTTTTTCTTATTGAATAGATGGTTAATAATGCGCAGTATACTTGACAAGGAGAAAAAAACCCTTCTTCAATAGTTGCTTCAATCGATATTGAATTTACTTTTCTTATTACTTCATGCACGTGATCAGAATATTAGTCATATGTAAAATAAGAAAACAAACGGGCGAAGTCTTCGTTGTTCTTTTCAGAAAGAGGAAAACAGGGACAAGGTATACACTGCATTGACACTTGACTGATTGTGTAGAAGAAAAGCAAATGAAAGTTGGAAAAAATAGCCATAAAATGAATGAGGTTGTTGGATTTTTCGTCTTCCGTTTGTTCTCTACACTCCTACTTTCCATTGAAACTAGAAGTCAGTTGTTGAGTATAAGAGAAGAAAAAAAACCATATATGACTACGTGGAAAAATCTAACAACAATCTATAATTCTTAATACACAATTAGCGATCGAACAGAAGTAATTATCATCAAAATGCCGGTGAAAGTATTGATCCAAGAAGTGAAGACTGTCAAAATACACTCACACAATTGCATAGTATCGTCAATGAGGTGAACTTTTGCACCACACTGGAAGAACGTATTCAACGTTTCAATGAAAATGATAAGAAGATATCATTCTTAATCTCCTCTGGTGCACTAGTACAACATCTCGTTCCAGATATTCATAGAGTGCCAAGATTAGGTGCCATATACATTTATTGTGGCAATAAACAATGTCATGAAGCATGGACCAAAAACTGGACAAAAATAAAAGGTGTACACACATCAGTCAAGCCCATATGTGAAGCATTGCAAACGATGATCAAGCAATGCAATCAAGATAACATATCGGTCAGTATTGTCAATATGAATGAAAGATATTCTAACGAAAACCTCAATCAGATGGAATCCTCCTTCATGTATTCTCAAATATTCAAGGAAATCCTCATGGATATGGAATATAGGCAAGAAGCCATCAAAGATTTAGTCACGTTTTGCCAAGAAGAATACCGGCACAATCCAAAAGACATGAAAGTTATCGATGAATTTGAACGTGCTTATCGTCCATCTCAGGCCATTTGGTGGTACAAATGTCAATGCTTTGCGTGTAAAATGCTTAATAGAGCATTATGAACACTCGATGGTGACACCATTATAAGAATGAGATTCTTTCTTTGTGACAAATTGAAGGCTTGCACAAGAAACAGATCAGTCTCTATCATGGCAGGACCTTTTCAGTATTTCGAGGGCAGGGACTATTGACATCAGACTTCGAAAAACTTGCAAAAAATAATGGTGGACTTATCTCTTTCAATAATCTTTTATCTTCCAGTAAAAGTCGAGCTGTCTCCCTCGAATTTGCCCAAGATGCATTAAGAATAACCAGTATGGTTGGTATCCTTTTTCAAATGACCATAGGTCCCACTCTCTCATCGACTCCCTTTGCCTCCATTCGGGTGGTGAGTTATTACAAGGAAGAAGATGAAATTCTGTTCTCCATGCATACCGTTTTTCGAATTCTTGACGTTCGAAAACTTGACAACAATTGTCCACTTTACCAAGTGAACCTTCAACTTACGTCTGATGAGGACTAACAACTTCGCCGATTGACCGACCGTATACAGGCAGAAGCTGCAGATGGAACTAGGTGGACATGGTTGGGTACGTTACTGCTTAAAATAGGTCAGTTTGGCAAGGCCGAAAATCTGTATGCTGCACTACTAGAACAGATCTCTGATGACAGAGATAAGGCATATATTTATAATCAGCTAGGATGGGTGAAACGAGTCCAAGGGCTATACGAAGAAGCAGTTTCGTTTTACGAAAAATCCTTCGACATCAAAATAAAACATCTGTCAGAAGATGATCTTGATTTGGGTGCTTCCTACAACAACATCGATCTAGTATATAAAGACATAGGTAATTATTCAAAAGCACTTGAATTTTACAAAAAGGCTAATACAATAGCAGAAAAAGGTTTACCTACGAATCATCCCGACTTTGCTATATTCTACAATAACAGTGGTCTTGCGTATAACAACATACGTGACTACTTCAAAGCACTTGAATTTTATGAAAAAGCACTTGAAATAAAAGAAAAAAGTTCTGCCTCCGAATCATCCCGATTTGACTACTTCCTATTACAACATCGGTGGAGTATATAACGACATAGCGAATTTCTCGAAAGCTATTGAATTTTTTGAAAAAGCGATTCAAATAAAAGAAAAAGCTCTGCCTTCGAATCATTTTGATTTGGCTATTTCTTACAACAACATCGATGTAGTGTTTAAAAAAATGGGTAACTACTCGAAAGCACTGAAATATTACGAAAAAGCACGTAATATAAACGAAACAGTTCTGCCTTCGAATCATCCTACATTGGCTTTTTCCTACAATAACATCGGCACGGCGTACTGCGGCATGGGTAATTACTTGCAAGTACTTTCATTTCTAGAAAAGGCGCTTGCTATTCGACAAAAATCACTTCCATCAACACATTCTGATATTAAACGAGCGGTGGATAATATTAACTATGTAAAAAAGAAGATATAAATTTGTTGTTTTTGTTCTGGCTTCCGTAATAAATTCTTTCCAATTACTACTCGTTCGCTCTGGCTTTTCTTGGCTATCGATCTCGCTTGCAATCAGGAAAACCCCTGGCTTTTGTAATAACAGGCACGTTGAGTCTCTTTGATCAAACAAGAAAGTGACCTGCCGAGTTGTGATATAAGATGTTCGCTCTCTCTACTACACAATAACATAAGTATAAACGAAAACAAGTTAACTCTTAACATTATTCAACTATGCAGTAGATGATTTTATATTGTTCTGTATGCATCTAAAAAACTAAATGAATTAGAATCATCTGATCTTCATCAGGTTACAGCCTATAGTCTATAATATTCCAGTAAAAAGTTCCCAACCGATCCATTGATCTGTTTAGGTTTTATTGATGATACAATTGCAGCATGTCGTTTTGCATTCTTGCAAAAGTATCCAATCACTTATTTTTGTAAATTGTTGCGCGTCGGTTCTATGTTGTAATTTTTCTTATGATACATGATTTAATAGACTGTTTTTGACCAATACCGACTATTCTAAACAAGAAGCTGCATAAGAAAATTTTCTCCTATACTGTTTAGATAATTATATTGTTTAATATATCATTAAAAAGAGCACTACAAATTGTATTAGATATTCTATTTGAATAGATATTTTCATATTGAAAAATTGTTTTAGTCATCTCCTATGTATACATCTATCACAGATAGACGTTATTGTACACTATCTTATTCACGCATCGAAAAAGTAAAAGTTGTTTTTACAAAGTGGATTTGTAGGAAATCTTTTTCCATAGAAAACTCTTATATTTGAAATCAAAACAACTTATATCGCTTATGCTACATATGTTTGTTACGCTATGAATAGCAGATGTAGACAGCTTACCATAGCCCTATTTGAGGCGAAGATAAAATTTAAAACAAGGCGCTATGTTAAGTTTCATTTGAGGTATTCTTGTTTAGTGAGATACATATCCACAATGTTTCTTGAACTACAATAACCGTTTTTATTCCTGCTATTCATAGCGTAGCATCAGTGATATAGATTGTTTTAATTTCAAATATAAAAGTTTTCTATGGAAAAAGATCCCTTATAAAATCATGCTGATAAAACGAATGTTACCTTCTGCGGCGCATGAATACGACCATACAAGATCATCTGTCTGCTTATTTTCTAGCTTTCCGTTCTTGCGATCATCACAACAGAAAATGATAACATTCGATGTATATGCCCAGTGAGTCAAAACAAACAAAAAAATTCGCAAAGAACTAGGAAAAATATGATGTGAAGCGATCTCAAATCTTGACAATGGGGTTTCAATTAACACAAGAGCTGATTGAAGACTAACTCAACATTCTTGATTATATTTCAAGTGAAAGATGGAGGCCAAATCGTCGAAATAGTCGTTTTGTAAAACTTATGGAAGATGAACGAAACCTCATATTTAACATTGAAAACGTTTGTAATCTCTTGAAACATCGATATCTCTGACAGAGTTCAAACGAAATCCTAGTAACTCGCTGTTCTCTAGGTCATTCCAATACAAAGTATAGATTTTATTACAATGAAAAATATTCGAAATTTAGAAGCCGAATATGCATACAATCGAATAAGGTATGATCTACTTTGCATTACATGAAACATGACAAACATAACTTAATGTGACTCGAAAAGTAGCTTGACTCAGCAAGCTCTGAGTTGTTATCATTTATCATCCTTATCAATGCATAATAGTCATGTTCATCACTGCCAAGAGTCAACATAGAAGCTTGAAAGACTTTAGAAAAAAAACCTTATTTTCATTAGTACGCGAATTCAGAAAAGTCTCAATAACATCCTTAAATGTCATCATAAAATCAATAACCTCTAGTACATTCCAGAGTAGACACTTTGCTTTAAGCACCGAACAATAAATTGCAATATTGATAGATTTGATCCAAATCAATTTCTTCTGAACAGAGACGCTTTAGAGCAGAAAAACGTAAGATTCCAATTATTAGATAAAATAATTACTTAAAATGAAAATATTAGTATTGCTTTGTCTCATAATAACTGATATTTAGCTTTAGACTAGAATATTTTGAACATAATTCAATAATTCTTTTCAATTGAAAACAAAGTATTTTTGTTTATATCAACAAGTATCTTCTTTTTTTCTTTAATTCGTAAAC